TTGTGGCGGCCAAGGGTGGAAGTAGAATGTCCAAGGCTGCAGTCATGGCGCAGGAAGAGGAAGATATTCGGGACGACAGTTTGAAGGAGAAGCAGAAGGCGACCAAGGCCAAGGATCCTCCAGTCGATGGAAGTACGAGTACTGGATCCTACAGTGGGTGTCCAGGCACACTCGTGGGGAGATGCTCCGGAGAAGCTTTCGAGCAACGTGCAATGGCCACGTTTGGGTCCATGACAGATACTGAGACGGTGAAGCCCCTCCTAGCAATACAAGTAGAAACACAAGAGCTGGTTTCTGTTTCACTTTTTGGATGATTGGCTTTGTAAGTTCAGTTCGGAGGAATTCTTCCTGCCTCAGGAAGTGAAAGTACTTAGTCTTGAGCAAGTAAATGTCAAATTATGGTCAACTGGGTGTGGAGAAGAGTTCTCATTGCCCAAGCATCCTCAGGGAATGGAAGTCAAGGCAGTAACATAGTCAGCCATGCAGGTCTGCACTGAAGGGAAGCCAGAGGGTTTGTGATCATTGACTTTTAAGATAAAGAAGAAACTCCTATGAAGAACTCTTTTGTTTTCTCTTCCTTTTGAGAAGATATAAATTCTATAGTCTCCAACGATATATGATGGTTTGCAGAACAGAAATTTTTTGCTTAAAGTGTGACTTTCACAAATGGAAAATCAAGGCACAGCCTTGGTCTGTATTAAGCAGATATTCGAATGTTAAAGAATTCTTCAGGTGGCAAGTGTTGTTCCTTATTTATTAACTCCTTGCTGTGTCAACAGGTGCCTCACTCCCTTCAGATGGAATGCCAGCCCTCCAGCCTGGTCCCAAAGGGAGCATTCGTGTAAACAGCAACCTGAGAGATACTGAAGCCTTACGCTCTTATCAAATCCAATTTGGGAGAAAAAATGATAATTCGTGGAATTTTATTTTATTTTATTTTTTTAATATATTTTATTGATTTTTTACAGAGAGGAAGGGAGAGAGAGATAGAGAGTCAGAAACATCGATGAGAGAGAAACATCGACCAGCTGCCTCTTGCACATCCCCTATTGGGGATGTGCCCACAACCCAGGTACATGCCCTTGACCGGAATCGAACCTGGGGCCTTTCAGTCCGCAGGCCGACGCTCTATCCACTGAGCCAAACCGGTTTCGGCATTTGTGGAATTTTATAATCAAGATTTCACTTTCTCTCCAAATTGGTCAAGACATATATTTTCAATATGTATATTAAGAGAGGTTGTATTTCAGATGGCTGTAGGACAGAGCCATCCTGTATTCCAGTTAGATATCTTAGAAGAAATAATTCTAATTGGACAATTGGGAGACTTCTCTAGAAAGAGACCTGAATTTCTATCTCCTTCTCCTTCTCCCTCTCTGAAATAAATAAAAGTATATTTAAAATGGAAAAAGTAAGTAAATCAATAAAAATTGTGGCGGCACATGCGTTGAAAATCACTCTCTCAGTACTGCTGTGCTGGGTCAACCTCTTTGCAATCCCACTCAAACCATCTCCTCCTGGGTTCAAGTTGCTCCTAGGTAATTTGTCCATGGCCTCCAGGGTGGAAAGGAAGGCTTTACATGCCCTGCACCTGAATTCTTCCTCCTCCTGCCAGTTCTTTTCAGGTAGAGATTTCTTCAAAAGATTCCTGAGTTACTTTGAATCCTGACTCAATCTCTGTTCTTTCCTTTGCAAGTTTAATGTACTGTATGTCTCAAGAATATCAATTCCCCACTATGTGTGCTTTTCTAAGCTGCCAACTTGGTCTCAAAGTCTGGTTTCCCAGCTTGTGATGCAGGGGGAAACCCCTTCACACCCCAATCTCCTCAATCATCCCCTGGGTGTCCTCAATGCTCCTCCTCTCAATGGCTCCTCAGCAAATGGCTCCAGGAAGCAGCAGTCACAGTGCCCCACACCCACCCGGAGAGACAGGGGAGGAGGAGGACTTAACATTTTAAACTGCAGATTTTCCTTACTGTTTATTTTTATTTTTTCACTAGAGGCCCGGTGCACAAAATTCATGCATGGGGGTGGAGGGGTGTCCCTCAGCCTGGCCTGTGCCCTCTCGCAATCCGGGACCCCTTGGGGTATGTCTGACTGTCAGATTAGGCCCAATCCCACAGTTGGACATCCCTCTCGAAATCTGGGACCTTTGGTCCTAACCACTGGTCTGCCTGTCTGCCTGATTGCCCCTAACCACTCTGCCAGCCTTTCTGATCACCCCTAACCATGGGTGGCTGCCTAGCTCCCTCCCTCTCAGCCGCAGGTGGTCACCTGGGCTGGGGTCCCTCCCACCACCTTGCCCCTCCCTCACAACCTCAGAGGCTTCCTGGATCCTGCAGCAGCCACCTGCTCAGAGGAGCTGGAAGGTCCGGAAGGATGAAGGTCCCATAATGACTTCCACTCTAATTAGCATATTACCCTTTTATTATATAGGACTAGAGGCCCAGTGCACAAAATTCATGCACTGGGGAGGGAGGGAGGTGTCCCTCAGCCCAGCCTGCACCCTCTCAGTCTGGGACCCCTTGGGGGATATCCACCCGCCAGTTTAAGCCAGCTGTCAGACATCTCTCTCGCAGTCCAGGGCTCTCGCAGTCCGGGACCCCTCACTCCTTACTTCCCGCCACCACCACTGGGCTTGCCAGCCATGAGCATGGCTTCTGGTTGAGCGGAGCTCCCTCTGTGGGAGTGCACTGACCTCCAAGGGACAGCTCCTGCATTGAGCATTTGCCCCCTGGTGGTCAGTGTGCATCATAGTGACCATTGTTCCACTGTTCGTTCGATTTGCATATGCTTTTATTATAAGGGATGTTTTTACTGATTTTTTTTTTCTCTTAGAGAGAGGAAGGGAGGTAAAGGAACATGGATGAAAGAGATACATGGATAGGTTACCTCCTCCACAGCCCCTATTGAGAATCAAGCCTGAAAACCAGGCATGTGTTTTAACCAGGTTCATTGAACCTGGGACATCTTAGTGCAGGGGCCCAGGCCTAGCCAACTGAGCCACACTGGCCAGGGCCTTCTCTTTATTTTGAAGTAATTCTGTACCTTACTTTGGGTTTGTGGCAGTATGCCACCTGGAATCAACTGTGGAGTCAATAAGTACAGAAGGCAGCTAATCAATGATTCTCTCATCACTGACGTTTCTATTTCTCTCTTCTCCCTTCCTCTCTGAAATCAATAAAAACATATTTTTCAAAAAAGGAGCAGAGAGATGACCCAGCTGAGGAGTGACCACTTCAAAGCCCAGGATGCACTGACCAGGAACTGTACACAGCTCCTGACCACACTCAGTGCTCACAGCCTCTCCTGTTCCCACCTGCAACAGACTCAAAACAGCAAACACATGGGTTCTAGGAAGTTCTCAGTGATTCTAATTATTCCCTCTCAAATTTTAGAATCTTCTCCTCTACTTAACCCATCAGCCCTTCATGGCAAGAAACGGGAAAACAAATTCACATCCAGAGTCTTATTTCAATCAGGCAGTAAGAAGTTGCCACTCAGTGCACCACGAAGTACAGACAGGGATGGGGAGGGCCCAGCCCCAGCTGTGCTGGACAGGAAAAGTGGGGGGAGGGGGGCGAGCCTCCCACCTCCTCATGTTATGCTGATAGGAAGGCACACACATTCAATGCCCTTTGCAGAAAGAAATCAGAGCTTCTTCATTTATTTATTTATTTATTTATTTAAATATATTTTATTGATTCTTCACAGAGAGGAAGGGAGAGGGATAGAGAGTTAGAAACATCGATGAGAGAGAAACATCGATCAGCTGCCTCCTACACACCCCCCACTGGGGATGTGCCCGCAACCAAGGTACATGCCCTTGACCGGAATCGAACCTGGGACCCTTCAGTCCGCAGGCCGACGCTCTATCCACTGAGCCAAACCAGTCAGGGCTATTTTTTATATTGAAAATAATTTTAATTGATACATCACAAAAGCATTGAACATGCAAGTAATGTTAATAAAATTTTTTAAATGAAATATTTAAAACAAAACAGTAGTGCAGAAAATAAAATGTGTGCATAATCACACATATTTTAACACTTCCACATTCATTTGGGAACTCGGGCCTTTAACTTTTGGAACCATGTTAACTTACAGGCAAATGAAGGAATGTAATGAACATATTCTACAGAAAGTTATAACCTGGAAAACTACTTCTGTAGAGTATTATTGCCAGGCAGTGATTAAATGTTTTTGAGAATCACCAATCTGAATTTATTTTTTTTTAAGTCAGAGGTCCTTGATGTTTGGGCTATCAGACAATATAATCCTTAATGGCCATTTGTACACTTCCCGCCACAGGGGAGCAAGAGCAGGAACAACTTGCTAGACACCAGGAGTTAGACCATGTAAGCAACTGAAATTTTCCAAAAGGCACCTGATCCCACACCTGCATTCTATCCCCATTCCAAGCCACCTATTCAGCCCCGAGACCCACTGACCAGAGTTTCCTGCCAGTGACTGCATATAAGGATGAAACTCTACATCTTGGGTGTTGCCATCATCCATCCACCCAACCTCCACTTGGCTTGGTGCTGTGCAGCCCTTCCCTTTGGGTATCCCATCCCCCACCCTCTTTCCTTAAATAAATTCTTTTTTTTTATTTCCGTTCCAGATGGCTATGTAACCTGCCCACGTATCACCATGCTAACCTTTCACTTGAGTCACAAAGTGGGAGTGTGGACAAATGTCCCATGACTCAGTCCCCCACTGAGCACCACAAAGTAAAGACAGGGATGGGGAGGGCCCAGCCGGGCTCTGATGGACAGGAAAGTGTGAGAAGGGTGAGTGGTGGGCAGGTGTGGGCCAGCCTCCGACCTCCTCACGTTATGCTGATAGGAACACACACATTCAAATGCCATTTGCAGAAGGAAATCAGAGGTTCTTGAATCACAAAGTAGGAGCTCGAACAAATCTCCCATCACTGGTTCCCCCATAAGGCACGTGCCTCTCGCTGTGGAAGAAAATGATCATGAAATAATCAGCTTTGTGGCTGTAAGTGGTGACATTCTCAACAACCTATGCAGGCTCACTATGCCCCAAAGAATCCCCATCACCCAGACCTGTCCCCTCGTTACATCGGGGTTTTACCTTTAAAAGCCAAGAGAGATTGATCAGAGCTCTGGGTACTGTAGCTGCCTGAGGTAGAAAAAAACAGGAAGTAGTCAGAGCACCCAGGAGAGGGGCCAAAAAGAAGGAACTATAGGGGTGAGGTCCCCCATGAGCTCCCCTATGCACTGTCATACGGTCTCAGAGATCACCCCTCCATACTCACTGGCAGCCTAAGTATAGCTCCCTCCTTTTCCACCTGTGGAAGAAAACATCCTGTGAGAAGACAGGGAGGAGGCAGGGCCATGAGCTCCTAAAGCAGCGGTTCCCAACTTGTAGGTCACGACCCTTTGGGGGTTGAAGGACCCTTTTACAGGGATCGCCTAAATACATCCTGCATATCAGATATTTACATTATGATTTATAACAGTAGCAAAATTACAGTTATGAAGTAGCAACGAAAATAATTTTATGGTTGGGGGTCACCACAACATGAGGAACTGTATTAAAGGGTCGTGGCATTAGGAAGGTTGAGAACCACTATGACCTAAAGGAATTCCTAGTCCTGGAGCCCAGAGAAGTTTCTAGATCTGTGACTATAAACCCAGGGCAGGATCAGGAAACCTGAGGAAACTACATGTGTGGGGACTGGACCAACCATCCTCTCGGAGGTCTGTCCCTGTCAGCAGGGACCTTCCACCCTGACGTGGGAGAGCTGGGAACCAGGCCCCATCACTAGAATCATCAAGGTGATGAATCTGTCCCTCATTTCCACACGTGTCTTACTAAAGAGTGTCAGCAATAGGGCCCCACACTGGGCAACCACACGTGTGGGATGGTACTTGCCATTAATGAAGCAGAACACACTTCTACCTGGGCTGGCAACCCCCAGTGAGACAAGAAACTTAGGCCCCACCCCTTCCCTACCTGAGCGCTTCCTCCTCATCACAGCTCCAGCCACAGCTCCAGTGACCACAGCTCCAGTGACCACAGCTCCAAAGATGACCACACCCACAACAAGGCTCAGGG